TCGACAGGGTGATGTCTCTGCTTTTTAGTATGCTGTCTAGATTTGCCATAGCTTTCCTCCCAAGGAGAAAGTGTCTTTGAATTTCTTGGCTGCAGTCCCCATCTGCAGTGATCTTGGAGCCCAGGAAAATAAAATCTGTCACTACCTCCATTTCTTCCCCATCTATTTGCCAGGAAGTGAGAGGACCAGATGCCATGATCTTAGTTTTCTTAATGTTGAGTTTCAAGCCAACGTTTGCGCTCTCCTCCTCCACCCGCATCAAGAGGCTCTTTAGTTCCTCTTCACCTTCTGCCACTAGAGTGGTATCATCTGCTGTTGTTGATATTTCTCCCGGCAATCTTAATTCCAACTTGTGATTCATCTAGCCCCGCCTTTCTCGTGATGTGCTCTGCGTATAAGTTCAATAGGCAGGGCAACAGTATACAGCCTTGCCAAAACCCTTTCTCAATTTTGAACCAATCAGTGGTTCCGTGTCCAGTTCTCACTGTTGCTTCTTGACCCGCATATAGGTTTCTCAAGATACAAATAAGATGATCTGGTACTCCCATTTCTTTAAGCTTTAAGCATCTCTTTATGCTCAGTGATACTGTGGCCTAGATGCTAGAATGTTTATTAAGTGGCAAAATTCTACATTTAAGTCATGTCTATAGTGTGAACGAGCTACTTTAGGCAGCGTACTCATGTACCTCTTTTCCCTTTGCCACTGATGCTAAATACACTAGGAAACAGTATTCATAAACACATAATAAGGAAATTGTCATCTCTGCCTTGGTTTGGCTGTTTTGAAGATGGACAAAATGATCTGTCCTTGAAGGGTGCTTTTTAGCATTCCTGGGCTAAATTTCAGGGGTGAGATCTCTTTTTAACTACTTAGACAAGATGTAACACACAACCCATGAAGCAGTGTGTTCCTATCTTGGCCCAGAAGGACCTCTGCAATGGCTACTTCTCAGTTTGACTGATTTCAGTTTACTTTTCAGTCTAGAAAAGTGCTCACCTTGGAGGACAGGCCATCTGACAATTTCATGTATTGACACAAACAATAAATGGCACCTGTGAGAAACAAGCAAATAACTCTTACTAATAATCAGTCACTCTAATCTCAGTAATACCAAAAGCATTTATCAAAGAACAGGAATTCTGGAATATCCATTGATATGTGCCTACATCTAATTAAACCTGAAGTACTTCCTCTAAAATGTTGCAAACCTCAATTGCTTTAATGTGTTGCTAAAAGGTTACAGAAAGTTCAGAACTCTATTTAAATATCAGATATAAGTTAAATTCAGTACAGTCCTTTCATTCACTTTGTGAAGACAGGAAATTCAAAGCAATATTTAGTATAGCCTTCAGATTTCACACATACCAGCATGAGTGCTAACACAATAGCCTAGATCTGGAACTATATAGAAGACTGCCTTAAATTCATCCTCTAAGCTCTGTTCTCCAATTTAGTTCTCCATGGAACAGGAAGTTCAATTCTTTTCCTCAGGCCCAATTTGCTGAAGAGTAATTGCTTTAGATGTATAGCTCTTCCTAGCCACAGGGGTTCAGGCAGAGCACCATCTTCCACTTCCATGCACTTCTCTTGCTGACAAAATCCCATTTCAGTTATACAACATCCAAGCACTCCACCTGTTCTCCCTCACCTGAGTTCCTCTCCTCTAGCAATACAGACACGATCCCCAGTCCTTAGGGGGTCTACTGTGCAGCAGAGGAGTCAGATGTGGATAAGAAGCAGGCCACTTTCCCAGGGGTAGGACAGCCAAGACCTTATTCAAGGCCCTCTTGGTCAGAGGACTCAGCCGTGGCTCAAGGGATGTCCCCAGCAGAATCTTCTTTTCTCTGGTCTCACAGAAGCCTCAGGCTATGAAATCAGAGGAGAGCCCTTTAACAGGCCAGCCAGTTCCTCCAGGAGTCCAGCTGACCATGCTGCAGGTCTTGTCAGCCTTCTGCACCTACAGGTCTCTGCTGGAACAATATACTCTACTGTTGCGGGAAGAGACAGTTCCGGTCTGCAAAACCTGCTTGGAGCTATCCAAGGTCCTATTTTCTTTGGTCCTTGTTCTGACAGCCACAGAATGCTTCTCCTGTGAGGCTCAAGGGACTACAGTACATGACAAATATCACCAGTCCCATCAAACTAAACAAAATCACCACTCTTCTGCTCTTTCAGTACGCCATTCATTAAAACAAAGCCTCCATCCCTTTCCAAGTTCCACCTTACCTTGACACTCCCCACACTCCTCTGTAACATTTACTTGCAAGCTCTTCAAAATACAAATCCCAGCTCCTAACACACTTCTGTTCTTAGCCTTTTCCTGCTCACTCCACCCCTAGTTAACTAGGGTCACTAGCTACATATTCAGACGCACAGCTTGTTGTTTTCACCAGCCGAAGGGTTGTAACACAGTCAAAATACCAATTTCCATCATACTATTGTGGCAGCCATTCTCCCACTGCCTTTCCATACTTCTTCAGAAGCATGCCAGACTCCAACGCAATATCCATGCAGGGCTGGGAAGGCCGAACCAGGCATTATCTGTGTGATCCTTTCTTGTCCCAGAGCTCTTAAAAGAGCAGCAGTTGTGCCCAGGTCAAGACTTAGAAACCCTGTCAAACAGCTTCTCTTTCTTATCGGGCTGTTAAGAGCCAGCTTAGCAGTCTCTTTAAAAAAATCCATGTACATTGGAGAGAGAGGTTTTGTCCTTATATATGGCCAACATCCTGATCCAGTAGGATCTACAGGGAATTTTTTAATTCAGGCCAGCATTCAAAATTATGACTCTCCTCTCACCATTTGCAGCCTGGAGTGCTGGAATCCTGCCTCTTACCACTTCAATCTACCACTGAGATCTGCTGTTATATTGACTGATGACGCTGATAAAATCTAAATCTTTGGATACCAAAGAGTTTACTGAAACCAGAAGGAGAATGGAAGTGGCAGTACATAACAGGCGGTAATACAGACTTTAGTGCAGGTTATCATGTTAGCCACATTCCCTGATGCACCAATTTACAACATTGCTGATTCAAAAGTGGTGACTTTTGAATCAGTAGTGCTATAGTGCATACTATACATTGCATGGTATTTACTATACTTGCGATACATTCCCCACTAGCACAATCCTTCTGTAATGGAGTGAGATGGTAGAAGTTGAGACTCCACCACTTCAAATCACAAGTTGTGGTGGGCAGTTCATTGCGCATTCTGGATCAGTATATGGGCAATTTGTACATCCAGTAGATTAGTACATCAGGGAGACAGCTGCACAGGAGGATCTGTGTTATTTTAGCACTTCCACTCCTACCACTTGTCATTTGAAGGTCTTTTTCAGACCTCTTCTGCTTCTTGTTGATCTGCACTGCAGAGTATCTGCAGTGTAGATGCTTCTGCTCTCTAGGTTGCCAGCAACTTGGGTTCTCTAACATTCAGCTGTACAAAGCAAAGCAAAGCACAGCTTTGAGTTCCGATTATTAGGGGTTCCTCTATCAGAACTATGGCTTTTGAGTCATCTCTGAAACTAAGCCCGGAAAATTGGGAATACTCACCATAGATGACCGGGGCTGTTATTAACAAGAACTTGAAAGACTTGGAACAGTTTGCCATGGTGAGCTGGTTTCTAAAGAAGGAAAGAGGCAGTATTCTCAAAACATCCACACTGTTGGAATTCTTTAAACAGCTAAAGCTCTGGAAGGAATCCTGACAGTAGCTGAGGGCACCTGGTGGCATTGCTGACTCCTCCCCAAAAGGAATGACCACTAACCAGAGTGTGGCGAAACATACAGCATCCCTAGACACTGCAGGAGAGGTTGCTCCTTCATGTTTCTCTCTCCTCTCTTCCCTGTAATGCCTGGTATCAGACAATGCATGATGTGATGTCACCGCTGCGTGTGTTTCCCCATCTCCACTCTTAATTATGTAAGGTGAGGGCAGGGAAATGCAATGATGTCATGCTGTGATGGCACTAGATGTGGCCACAAGGCAGAGGGACACAGAGCCATAGAGCTGAGGCAGTGAGGAAGCTGCCAGAGACAGAGTCTTGACAACCGGTTCATGTAGCTCAGTTATGCCTACACTGACTGGCAGAAGCGCTCAATGGTTTCTGAAAGGGGTCTTTCCCAGATCTACTTGAGGATGTAATGTGTGTCCTGCAACAGCAGGGGGCTGGACTCGATGGCCTTCATGGCCCCTTCCAACTCTACTATTCTATGATTCTATGAGGATGGCTACAGAAGGAATCCAAGTGCTCGACTACAGGAAGCCAAACTCTAGATAGGATATTATTCACAAATCATTCGGGCTCACATGCTTGATTTTAAACAGATCACCCTCATGGGGTGGCATGAGCCAGACTGAGACTCCGGGATGAGTAAAGGAGGGCTTTGATCCTTATCCCGTCCTCACCACTGTATTTCTGATCCATATCTGGGGCCCATCATCTACTAGTCACACCTGGAGGAAAGCTCCCGTTGACATTAGTGGGATTTGTCTTCCTATCACAAAGAACAGACACAGGGGCCGGAGGGAGGAGCCCTATTTGGACTGAGGCCATGGTGAGGCAATGGGTTGGAGCCTGCCTTCCCACACAAACATGCCGTGGTCCATTTACTCTTCCTTGCCAGGTTTTGGTTTTCTTTGTTTTAAATAAAAAGCATGCAAGGTAAAACAGCATGAATATCACCCCATCTAATTTGACGTGGAGCTTCAACCCTTATCTCTGAACATCTAGTTCAGCACCAAAGGCTGGTTCAGGCTAAGGGCTTTTCCTGATGGAAGGCACCGGACACTCCAAATGAGCAGATTGTCTGCAGGAAGTGGAAAGAGGGAAGCGGCAGGGCCATTCTGTGGACTGCTGCACCCGCATCCCCTGGCACAGCAGAACGAGTGGGAAGCTGCAGCATTTCCCCAGCCCCTCTTCTGCCAGGAGGGCTGCCTGCTGCCTTCTCCCCGCCTCCAGTGAGCCTTCTGGAGAGACCCACTTGCTGCCAGAGAGCTGCTGGCAGGGATCTCTTGACAGCAACCTACATCACCAGTGGCCACTATAGCTGCTTTTTCATGCCATCAGTGGCCCTACCTACCCCTTTGGCCAGCCAACTTCTGGGTACTGTAGCCAGGCCAGCTTGCGCGCATGTCACCTGTGTGCCTATTGCACAAGCAGAGGCTGCTGCACACATGATGTGTGGGCTTTGGAGTGTCCTATGGGCTTTGCACCCATGCTCTGCAGTGGTAGCACGGATTGCACATGCACCCATACCACTGCCCACAAGTTGCACATGCTTAGGGAGTGCAAACTTAGCATGGAAATAATCCAGTGCAAAAAAGGGACCTACTAGCAATGGCAAGCATTTGTGAATTGGATCACGGCTTGGCTCACTTCCTAGGCCAGGGCTGAGCAGGGGAAAGAATCCAGAAGTTCTGAGCAGATGTTCTCATCACTAACCGATGCCACCATGTGTTACGTTTTTGCAAAACAGATAGGCTGGAGTGGAGAATACCAGCCCTGGCTTCTCTTGCCAAGTTTGCCCTATTTCTAAAAGAGCCTTGAAAAACTTCATACTCATCCTCTACCTTACACATATACAGGCCTCCAAGACGGATTCTAGGAGGCAGATAACAGGAAGCATCATAAGGCCAGGAATATTGCATATTTTCTCTAAAAAAGAAACAAAGCATAGAGGAGTTACTTTTGATGGATTCTAAAATAATTGGTGATGTGTCTCTTTTGTTATTTGACCTTCAGTGGACTGGGACTCCGTGGGACTCTTTCCCACATTTGAAAGGGCAGTTCTTTGGTTGCATATAGTAAAAGGAAATGCAGGTGGCGCAGAGGTTTAAACCGCTGTGCTGCTGGGCTGGTTGATTGAAAGGTCTCCGGTTCGAATCTGCACAATGGGGTGAGTTCCCGTTGCTCTGTCCCAGCTCCTGCCAACCTTGCAGTTCGAAAGCATGCAAATGCAAGTAGATTAAAAAGGTACCACTTCAGTGGGCAGGTAACAGCGTTCCATGCACTTCAGTGTTTAGTCATGCTGGCCACATGACCATGGAGACTGTCTGCAGACAAATGCCGGCTCCCTCGGCTAGGAAACTGAGATGAGCACTGGGACTCCGTGGGACTCTTTCCCACATTTGAAAGTGCAGTTCTTTGGTTGCATATAGTAGCAATCCTAATTTAAGATCAATTAAACATCAAATTACCATTTGTAGAGTGCTTTCAAGTGTTCCTAGAATGTGACACACATTCTCTCAGGGCTCCTGAAACTCTATGGGATTGTCTGGAGAAGGCTGAGCTAAAGGTTCTTTGGCACAAAGTGACTTAGCAGGAAATGTAAGCACTGGGTAGGAAGGCGTCAGCAATGCGAGAGGTGCTTTTAATTAACCACATTTATTGCATACTGATGGGCCCCTCCATTATGGCAATCTTCTGCTCCCCACTGCCTCAGAAGATGGAGACAGCTCTGAGCCATGGCGTTGGGCATACAACAGCCCACCTGCTGTGTAAGTGGAGGCCAAAGCAGGCATCAGACCAGATGTCAGCGGCAAATTACAGTTCACATCTGCCTTTCTTCCTCTTGCAAGTAACCCAAGACAGCTAAGGTTGCAATGCGAGTCCAGGAACACCATCTTTTATTTACTTACTTATTTCATTTACTTATTTCAGGATTCATTTCACACAAACACCTGTTTTTCATTTAGGCATCAACCTCCTTTTTCTTGGGAGCAGGAATCTGCACCTGCACCAAAGGGCTGTCCATGATGGATGGTGCCCAGGTGTGATTTCCTAGCCCCTCCGCTTGCTCCTTCCTTTGCCCTGCACCCTCCCACAGCACCTCGTCCCCACCCTGGGCGTGCGTGTTGGTGAGTGTAACTTGCCTGTGCGTGCACTTTCTAAATAAACACATTTTGCCGGAAGCAAGGCCTTCTGGAATTCCTTAAATTAGACATGTGGAGCACACGGCTTTTCTATGTCTGCTAACTCCCTGCTTGGTTTCCCAGCAAACATGGCTGCTTGAAAAGACGCCTACTGAGGAGCAGTGAAGTGCACCATGAGCAGATTCCCTTCTCCCTACTTTGTAAAAAGAAAGCCCCAGCGTTCCACCCCCATGCTCCAAAATAGTCTCTCTGCCACGGAGCACTGTAAATAGAGGCTATAAAGCTCAGATTAAAAGCTGGAGTGGATCAGCAGCCCCAGTGAGATAGGGGTCACCCCTCCATCCCCATTTGTAGCCCTTGAATAAGTCTGTTCTACTGCCATATCATGAACAGGCAAAACAAACCCAAGCAAAATATAGAGTTAAGCAGGCAGTTTTAGTTCCGGTACTAACTGTTTTGCATCCTACAAATAAAGAAGCAAAGCCACGGGAAACAATTAAGTGGAGGCTAATGTTGTTTTTAAGAGGCGGAAGGGGCTGTAGGCTGCATAACAGGAAGTGCACGGCAAGCAATCAGAAAAGGGGGATACCCTCAACACAGCACCCACTTTTCCCAGGGGCAGCTCCACTCACCCTGCTTCCATTCCAAATTTTTATGGTCTACATCTTCAAAGAAAATGTGTGGTTGTTCTGCTTTCTCCCTCTTACCAAATTTTCTATCCCAAGCAAAAAGTTGGGAGAATTGCTGGCAGATTACAAAAGGAGGGCTGTTTGGATCACTCATGTAATGTGAATGAATGTGCTATGGAGATTCCTCTGTAAATCCTCATCTGCAAAAGCCTTTACTCTAGAGGAGGCAGAGAAGACCTGATCCAGATCTTAATAGCTCTTTGATTTGAATCAAGGGTCTTGCTCTTACCACAGAATAAACATTATATATTATGGGAGCAGGAGAAGGGAGGGGAATGCTGCTAGCCACAGGTTCAAAATAATGTTTTGGTCCTAAATCAGTTAACAAAAAAAAAATACTAAACCAATGAAACTGATTAAAGTGATATTGTCTAGTATTATATTATATAGCAACAATTATATCAGCCAATAAAGAAGAATGTTTTTCAGTACAAATGCAGCATGATTTGGTACAGAAAGAAAAGCAAGGATGTTTATAAGAAAGGGTCCAGTGGAGGGCAACAAGAATGATCCAGGGTTTAGAAACCCTGCTGCATGAGGAGAGACTGAGGGAACTGGGCATGTTCAGCCTTGAGAAGAGACGACTGAGGGGGGACATGCTATCCCTCTATAAGTGCCTCAAAGGCTGTCACAAAGAAGAAGGTCAAGATCTCTTCTTGCTGATGCCAGAGTGTAGGTCATGGAATAATCAGTTGCAACAACCCAGATTCAGGCTGGACATCAGGAAAAGCTTCCTCACTGTCAGTGCACGCAACAGTGGAACCAGCTGCCTAGGGAAGTTGTGGGCTCCTCCACACTAGAGACATTCAAAAAGAAACTGGACAGCCATCTGAGTGGGATGGTGTAACTTTGTCCTGCAACAGCAGGGGGCTGGACCAGATGGCCTTCATGGCCCCTTCCAGCTCTACTATTCTATGATTCTATTGCCTTGGTTAGTTATTAGTCATAGAATCAGAAGTATTAGAAATGACCTTGGAGGTCATGTAGTCCAACCCTTTTGCTCAATGCATGTACAGCATCCCTGAGAGATGGCCATCCTCCACACTTTGCTTAAATACTTGGAAACAAGAAGTCCAAGATGCCACTCCCATTGCTGAACACCTGTTAGGAAGTTTCTGGCATACAAGGGACTTTCAGACGGGTGGCTGCCAGTGCTATCAATCAAAGGCACTGTGCAGCAATTCCGTCTTTTTATTTATTTACTTATTTATTTAAGGATTTATATCCTGCCTTTTTCCTACAAAGGGCTCAAGGCAGCTTACATCATTCTTCTCCTCCATCTTATCCCCACAACCACAGCCCTGTGAGGTAGGTTGGGCTGAGAGTCTGTGACTGGCCCAAAGTCACCCAGGTGGCTCCATGGCTGAGCGGGGACTCAAACCCAGATCATCTGAGTCCCAGTCCCATACTCTTAATCACTACGCCACACTGGATCTCCTTTCTTGGATTCTTTTCATCCTTTCTTGGATTCTTTGTGGAAAGAAAAAAGATGGAAGGATCAGTGGGAAAATGTGTGTGTTCAAGGGAGGTGAGGTGGGGGTTTACACATGGAATCTGAATTCTCTGGATCCTTGAATATTCCATGAATGATGCAAGGCATTTGCAGGATAACAGCCCATACCGCACTGAGATCTATAGATCGGGGCCCTGCATTGTTCCACCTAACTGAACAGATACCTCTGATGATGACTCTGGGGAGGAGAGGGTGCTTTTCGTTTGTGGCATCCCAACTTTGAAATTCTGCTACACAACCCTGCATGCAACCCTGATTTTTTTTCTCCAGATGGTAAAAATGTACCTGTTTAACCAAGCATTTTAAGTTGATTTTAACACTTTGCTTTGTAGATTTCCCCCTTTTATCTGGTTCTGCTTATTTTAAATGTTGTTTTAATCCATTCTGCTCCCTGCCCTGTAATTTTGCAATGGAGGACAGTAAAGAAATAGTCTGGATAAATGCATATAAACAAAGGAAGTGTTAGAGTGCTTAGGGAAGAAAAGTGCAGGCAACGTACTTAGCAAGCTCTGTTGAGAAGAGGCTGAGGAGTTGGATGCCAAGGTACTGCAGCTGCTCTCCCTGGCAATGACTTCGCGGGTAAACTTCATTTGTCCTGTGTCTGATGAACTTCCTGCCAAAGAAATGTCATCTCATTAGCCGGACATCACCAACACCTAGCATCATCTGTCTGGAGTTTAAGTGTGTCTAGTCTGAAAAATGGACTGACGGCTTCTTCTGCTTCCATCTGTGGCTTGCTCTTTGCTTTCATTGTTGTTACAGCTGGAGATCTGTGGCCAAAGGGCCTCTTGATTAGATCAACTGATGGGTAGGACACACAAGGAGAAAAAAGCACAGGAACGCTGCTCATTTGTATAGTGAGAGATGGCGTTGCATAAGGGCTAAGTGATTCTACATGTCCTAAAGTGAACACAAGCAAACTCTTTCAGTGCAACTGTTCGTGATGAATGAACACAATATCCATGCAATGTCTCCTGGAAATCTTAGAAAAGAGAGTTTAGCCAGGTCAGGTAGGGCATCATATGCTGGATTTCATATCAGGCCTCCACCAACAAGTGCTTGAACAGCTGATGAATGTTTTTTGAGATTACCTCCATGTTCTCGTCCTTCTTCATCTTGGCTAGATGAGGTGGTAGAGTTTCTGGGGCAATTTCCCACAGAATTGCGCAAGTACCAGCTGAAAGAAGGAAAGCCACACATTGCCTTAATGCTCACAGATATTTTTAAGTGGAAGAGCCCTTTCAAGAACACTGGTGGAGCAGAAAATGCTGAAGTGGAAGTGCTCATCCCCATGCTGAGTTCTCAAGAATAATCCAGGGCTTAGGCAGCTGTGCTGATCCATATTAACAAACCAGGAGTTTTCCATCTCCATTAGGAGCATGAATGTTTTTTAAGCTAATGCCTATTCAAGACCAAAATGGGAGAGGTCATCAGGGAATTTGGGTTGAAGTTCACTGATGAACAATCTGGCCACCCTGAAATATACACTCTGTGTGTAAATCTCACACACACACACACACACACACACACACACACACACACGGGGTCTTCAAAAAGTTTCCACACTTTTAAAAACTCTATTTATTAAGAACTTCCAAAACAAATTACATCACTTTTCTACATAGCCACCTTCCTTTGTGATGCATTTTTCCCAGTGTCATACCAACTTTTTAATGCCATCAGCAAAAATATATAAAATATATTTATAAAATATAAAAGTGCAGAAACTTCTCGAGGACCCCTCATGTACACACACACGAGATTGTTTTAACTTGCTTTTCAACTGGTTTCCAGGATGGCTTATAAGCAGGACAAACTTTCTAAAAGACAAGTTACAGATCTGTTAAACAAATGAACAAACAACAGTGGTGGGAAAGGGTGATTTGCCCATGACCTCCAGGGAGCTTCCTGCCTTAGGGTTATATCCAATGTTAGTCCTACTGTGAAAGAAAAAAAAATGTAAAGAAACTCTAGTCCAAGTAAGATAAAGTTACAATCCAAACAGACTTTTATGAATGCTGCAATATTGCAGGGAGAGATCCTAAACCAGCTCATCAGCCTCACACTACTTAAGAGTAGACCCAATGGAATGAGTGGGACTTACACTTGGCAAGGGTTTTACACCTGTTCTCTGTAGTTCAGGTCCAACATTCTATTCATCAGACTTAGTTTTTTTCTTTAGAAACACTGGAAAAGCACTAGGAGAACCTAGTCACCTCTTGAAAATAGGTAAGTTCTAGATACAATCTTAGTGTGAGTTTAGTCATAGGACCATTTCAGAACAGATCCTGCAGGTTCCAAGGACCTTCAGAAGTCAACAAACACAGTTTTCAAAACCACTGATCACACATGGATGGTTGTTTCCTAAAGTGGCAACTCAATATGGTATGTGTGTTACCACATGAACAACTGATAATGGGCAACGTCCTTCCAATTAGACAGGCACTGACATGTACACAACCACACCTCTTCAGAAATTTGAGGCAGCAGAGGATTAGAAAAAATTCCCTCTGCTCTTCACAGAACATTGCAGATAATGCACCATTGCCCCTTTATAAGTGGTCGGCTACATTAACCCACTATTTCAAACAGAAGCATGATCTGTTAGACCTTTTTCCAGACATTTTTGATGCACCCACTTTCCCAGAACACATGCTCAGGGTCTGCCCCTCTCTCTACCTCTTTGCCTGCACTCCACTTGATCCTGCTGACCCACTGGAAATATTGACAAAAGAATTGGAGTTATCTTGAAAGACTTTATCTGGACTTCTTCGCACAGAACGTTTCCCATTCATTATTGAGTAAATGAAGTGGCAAATGGACGTGTTCTGAGATCAATTTGTTGGTTCCTTCTTCCAATTGTATCACAGTCTCCAAAAACCAGACCAAAAAATCCCTGCACGCACATATGCACGCACAGTCCAGCTATCAACAGGCCAACATCAGAGTGGTATCCATTCTGTCTTTTCCAATGACCTTCTGTAGTGTGCGAAGATTAACTTCTGACATCCAGTAAGTGATGTAATAATAGGATCCCTACAGTGAGATAAATACAATGGCTTCATGACATCATAATAGCAGAGCATCTAGGAATAGACTAGCCCAAGTATAATTCTTTAAAAATTGTCCTTTACTAAGTCCAGAGGACTCAATAACTGGAGGTATGTAATACAAGGAATGGTATTCTCATTTACAGTATATAAACCAACTGTCCCCAAGTTGGTGTCCTCTGTATGTGTTGGAATTCCATGCCCATCATGCCTAATCATGATGGGCATGGTCTTATTGGATATTCTAGCTGGTTATGACAACCCTTGAATTCCAACTCACCTATGGGGCATCCAGTTTGGGAAGGCTGACCTTCTGTTGCATAAGTATGTGTTAACCAAGGAATGTCTGGGATTCAACATGTTCAACTTTTAGACAAGTTATTTTAAAATGAATTTGGTATAGTACATACCAATTTAACCTGCATGCAAAGGCTCCAGGTTAAATTTCTGGCATCTTCAGAAACAGTTCCTATCTTACACCCTGGAAAACTACAACCAGTTGTGGTATGGACCATAGATGGAGATAGATGGATCAATGGTCTTCCTCAGTATATGGCAGCTTCCTAAATCCCTAAGCGATATCCTTCCACCACTATGTTGTTTTGGGATTACCCTTTGACCAGAATCCCAAGTTTTCTGTTGCAAAAAGTTCCAATATACAAAGGGCTTCTTAACTCAACAGTAAATGACAATTTAGTCTGAACAAACAAACACATCTTGCCTCCCATTGCTGTGAGCCATCCATGCAAGAACCGCACTACAGGAAATCACATCAATTTCTGTCCATCCTTAGTTCTCTTAACTATGTAGTCTAGCCTTCATGCATCTTCATGGATCTCACCACAGGGTAACCGCATATGGCCATACAGTACTGTGCACAACCACTGTAAGTCTCCTGGCAATCTTGATCTATTTTTACGTGGTTGCGACACCACACAAGGGATGTTAAGATGGATATTGTAACACTGAGCTGGACTAAAGATAAACCTGAATCTCCTGGATGATCTCTGGATGATATGCAAGGATTTTTAAAACTCCCTGCTATTTAATAGTAGCACAAACAAAATACGCCCACTACCACCACTTCTAAATTATGCTGCTAGGAGAAAGGAAGCTTTAAATAACCAAAACTGGATTGTTGGGTGGAAGGACTGTTCAGTTCTGGCACTGAAAGCAGATCTTGAGAACAAATAGTTGAACTCAGAATTCTTTATTCGAGTGTATATATTTGTATCATGTTCCAGTTGCTGGATCTCATGGAGTTCTGGTAAAGTAAATTGCTCATCCTTGTTGTAAAAATATATTTCAAATGAGTAGTTACATTAGACTGTTGAAGCACACATATCTTGTGGTGTCTTAAATACTTTTTTTGGAAGGATAGAGGGTGGGAAACAGCTCCTTGGACTACACCCCACTTCAGCAGATGCCCATGTTATTTCTCAATTAACTAATACTGGACTCAATAGAGACAAAGGTTCTCTCTGCCCCCGACTACAAGAGTTCAATTAGCATAGCAAGACTAGGATGAGCTCTTATCACCGACTACTATGACTCTGAATGGTCACTGTTCTGCTCTTGCATGCTGTTAGAATGAACAGCTCTTCCATTCGGGGCTATTTTGGTCCCTTGATTACGTTTTCCCCTCTATAGCACACTTAAGCCGCATGAATATACTCTTTCAATTAGAGGAAACGAGGTGAAATGTTGACTACTTCCAGCAGAGGTCAGTAATAGATTATGTATGCCTTGACCACCTCCCTATTCTGTTTCCCACTCCGGTGGCTATGTCTAATTAGCCTCACACAGCAAGGAACAGCAGCGGCTAGCCAAACAACCCTGAAAGTTAACACACAGGGTGCTTCCATTCCTTATTTTTTCAAACAAAAAGAGTGCTTCCTGATAGAAGGTTTGAAGTGAAGGAATTGTGCAGCTCTTCCATATTTTCTTTTTTTGTGTGTGGTTTGTGGTAAGGATGAAGGTGGAAGAAACAGTGGGGAAGTTACAAGTGGAAGTAGAAGTGCTAAAGGAATCAGTGGCTGCTTCTAAACAAACAGTTCTTAGCATTGTACAGCTATGCCATCCTTTGGTGCTTAACAGATGGGGGGTGTGTATGGGTTTTGTTGGAAGAAGAAAAATGAGGAGCTGATGTCCTGGACCACCTGTAACATCTCATCGTTGAGGCTCAGAGAGTGCAGGATAAAAACCTCATCTGGAAGGACCCCTGAAAGACCTTAAAGACTAACAAATCTTTTGTGGCATTAGATTTAGTAGAGCAGTATTCACTTCCTCAGATTCAGCCTGTGTAACATCTGTGTACCTGCTTCTGCACTACTAGGCATGTAATATATATGGAAGGGTAGTTTCCCCTCACCCCCTTTCCACACAAACCCACAAGGCTTCCCTCAAGAAAATGGAAGGCTTGCCCCAAAGAGAAGAATAGAATGGGACACAAACTTGCAGAAAGGAAATGCAAATAGACAAGGGATGCCAAAGAAAGAATTTTGAGGAGTATATTGCTAACAACGTCAAGGTCAAAAACAAAAAGTTCTTTAAATTCACCAAAAGCATGAATCCAAGCAGGAAGGCAGCTGAACTGCTGGATGTCATTGGACTTGAAGGAGTCCTAAAGCAGGAAATTGCAGAAAAGCTGAATGCATTTTTTAAAAAGTCTGTCTTTACTGGAAAAGACATGGACAGATATCCATGACTGAACTGATGTTTGCAGGAAGTGAGCCTGAGACACTAAGGCAAATAATGCAGTGTTGACAAGAGATTAAGTTATATGTTGAAGTTACAAACCAGTTACCTTAACAACTGTTCTGGGTAAACTGATGGAAAGCATCATTGAAGATAAAAGTTTCAAGCATATAGAATGACAAGTCTTGCCAAAAACAGAAAAAGTCGCCTGGTATCTGCAAAGGTATGTCCTTTTCACTAACCTTTTCGAGTACTTTGACAATGATATTAAACATGTGGACAGAGCTGGTCCCATAGGTCCTCTTTAAATTTCCAACAAAGTCAAAGACTCCTGAGCAAACCTAGCAGCCGCAGAATAAGAGGAACTCACTGTCAAAAACTTGAGATCCAATGTGTGATACAACAGGATTGACAGTGGGATGGGGAGGCAGAGTTATATGTAACCACGTATTTCTGAAGTAGTAAATGTATTTCTGCATTGAAAGATGAAAATATGTTATACACAACCATTTTCTTTTCATAACTTGTATTTAACCTGAAAAAAATAATTGACTAGAAGGTTTACAGAAGTCGAGTAAATAAATGTATAGCAACAGACTAGTCAACCCAAAGAAGTAAAGGACACTATGAAAATACCTGAAGAGAGGAATTGGCATCTGTCCTGTCTTTAGTGAATTTATTTATCTTTTATTTAATTTCTATACTGTACAATACCAAAGTTCTCTGGACACTTCACAACAGCATTTAAATATGTGTGTGTGTATATAATACACCATTAAAACATATTAAAACATCATAAAAGTTAATGATACAAAAGCCCAAATTTAAAATAAAGGCTGTTTTAAATGTAGTTTAAATCTAATAGCAATGTTTTAATTTCATAGCAAAGCCTATGAATGCTCGAAGCTCATGTTTATTCATTCTTCCAATGCAATTTTGTTTTCTTGATGCTTATTCCTTTTATTCTTTGTTCTCTAGAAAGGTGCTTTGAAGGCTACATGAGTTTCTATTTAATTAAAAAACCAACATACAAGTAATGAGATGGGTGAAGGATGGAAGGGTTGCCAACAGAGAGAACTACCTTTGTGTTCATTCATTGATTATGACTTTCATCTGCATAAATACATCTCAGTGATAAGAGCTGGGTTCACCTCATTCTGCTGCTTCTGTCCTTGTAACCCAACCAAGTTGCCAGTTCAGGAAGAGGGATTTGGGAATGGCAGTATTCATATAGCAAGATTCAGAAGCCATATCTTGGATACTGTTGTGTCAAATTGCAAACAAGCAAACAAACAAATAACCAGCAGCAGTGGAACAATAGACATTACTGCTGGGAGCATAGACTTGCCTTCATTCTCGGGGGTGGGGGGAACCTTCTAAATGGCATGCATGCATCTCAAAATACATATCTTAAAATGCCTGCAGACATTACCTAAGCAGCGAGAGAGGGAGAGGGAGAGGGAGAGGGCGAATCTGCAACTGGAGTGGCCAAAAATAAAATAATAGGACCATGTAACTCAGCATGCCTCTTAACACATGGAGGCTTGAAGTTGTGTCTGTATTCAAAATAGGGATGCCCATGAAATTGGGTAGTAACGACTTTGATTTATAACTTTATATATATAATTATATTTGAGTGTGTAATGTATATATATATTTATAAATAATTCATTTCTAAAATTATTTATATTTCTCTATAAACAAATGTATAGAGCAAGTCTTTGGGTTTTTTGCAGCAGTGTTTGTATAAATGTCTTGCACTTTATAGTGGCACAGACATTTCTGTTCTTACTGTGTGCTCTTCTGATGTCTACTCTTAACCTGCTAAGATCATGTATGCATGCACACGAACACATGAAAACAAGTCTTTTATACATGCATATGTGTGTTATTGCTGTTGTCCCTGACTTCTGGCGACCTGATGAATAAAAGCTCTCCAAAATGTCCTGTCCTTCACAGGCCTGTTCAGCTCTTCTAAGTTCAAGACTGTGGCTTGACTGCGACTGTGGATGCAGTCAATCCACCCCATTTTTGGTGCTCCTCTGATT